TTATTCATTTTTTAAAATAAAAAACTTTTGACACGTTTCAAAAAAGAAGAAGAATACATTTATAAAAAAAATACATTATTTCCTTGGATGGCGCATGGCCTGAGGCCAAAGCATGAGCATGAGCATGGTCCATGGTCATGTCATGTCATAGGTGCCGGAAATTACACAATATCTGATTTTGGCATGTGATTGGGCCACGTGTACCGAGTTGACACAGTGGACTCGGTTGGAAAGGAAGAAAAGTATCTTACGCCTCTGCCACTTAGATATTTCTTAGCCTATCAACCATGTTTGCCAAGTGTCTTCATATGATTGGTTTCTCTTCTACTCACCTCTGTAATGGAATATGCTCGGGTTCGACCACGTTGTTCTGAACTCTGCTGCACACTTTGAATGGAAAATGGAAAATAGGCTATTTTCACTTTTTTTTAGAAAATGGAAAATACACATTTTGAGGGTTCACTGGTATTTATTTACAACTAAAAAAGAAGAGTGTGAATATTTTTTTGTTAATTTTATCAGGAATTTTTTAATTGTTTTTTCTTATAAGTTCTTAAGTTTTTAATTAATGTTATACTTTTTAATGAATTTATAACTTTTAATAAAAAGAATTTAAAATTTTTCGTGCGTAATGCGAATTACACTATTTAATCGTGACACATATAGATGATGTAAAGAGAGAAAAAATGTGATGGAGAGAGGGAAAAATATGTGAGAAAGTATTAAAAGAAAAAGATGTGGATAATATTGTAGATAGAAGAAAAAAAGTGACAGAGAGAGAAAAAGACGATGAAGAAAGAAAAAAAAAAGTGATGAAGAGACAGAATAATTAAAAAATTTGGGGAAAAAAGTTATAAAATGTATGTTGAAAGTTATTTATTTATGGGAAAAAATTGTCTTAACTTTCAACATATATCATTTTACCAGTTTTTTAATTATACATTTCTGAGAATGTATAGTTATAATATTAAAATTATAATTTTTTACTTTTCACGTCAACAGACAGTTTATGAAGGGAGAAAAAAATATAACTTTAATATTATAACTATATATTCAGGAATGCATTGTTAAAACTGCTAAAATAATATAACTTGTGTCCTTTAAAATGACACTGGACCATTTATTTATACTCGTCTATTATTAAACAAATTGAAAAATTACGATTCAGGAAAAAAAAATACAAGGGCTAGTTTTAGAAATATATATTTGTAGTACCTTGTTACAAAAATATTTAAAAAAGTTACATACTCAATAATAAAAATTACAAAATTATAAAAAAAAAGTTAGTACTATATTATTTTTTTGAGGAAGTGCCAGAATAATATTTATAGTTTATTTATAGTTACAGATATTGTCAATATTTTTTTACTCATTTTTTAATTTGTAAATATTCTAATTGTTTAAAATGAATGTTAATAATTTATTAAAAAATTTGGTACATAAAGCTTAGGTAGTAAATCTTAGGTGCTGTTTGAATACTATTTCTAAAAAAAAATTGATTTTCAGAATAAAAAAATAAAAAAATTGTTTGATAAGACCTATTTTATAAAGAGGACCGATATACTAACTACCATTATTTTTGACTACCACTTACTACTTTCTTATTCACCGTTAGATTATCATATTAATCAACGACCATTACTAGTTTTAAATTTTTGACACTCTCTCTCTTCTTTCTCAGTTTTCTCTTCTCCCCACTCTTTTGTTTTCATTCTCTTTTTATGCTTCCCTCCCGATCCGCCACCAACCACTACCCACCGCTCTACTGCCCACCGCTTCGCCACTGCCCTCTGCCACCGCTCCGCCACCGCTACCAGCCCAACCGCACTTCCCTCTTTTTATGCTCCTATTCTTATCTATTACCCTTGATATAATAATTATTGAATCAGTTGAGAGGGGTCAAATTAGTAAATCAACAGAACGCGGTCGATTTATAAAACCTGAAACCCTAATTGGAATTTTTTGGCCACTCAGGAGATAGTGGGAGAAGAGAAAGAGAAGAAAATGACGATGAGGTTCAAGAAGAACAGGAAGAAGAGAGGCCATGTCAGCGCCCTGGAGGTCGTGGCAACGCCGGCGACATGCACCACCACCGAATCCTGTTTGAAAAATATCACCCAATTATTTATTATTTTCTTTTCTTTTCTTTTTCGTTTTCTTTTTAAATTTAGCATCTGTATGTTTTATTATTTATTTTAAATTGATTTATTTTTTGCTCCTTAGTTTCTAATGACAGATATTCAATTCATAAATGGCTCTGCTTTTCAATTTTCGTTTCCCCTAACCTACTTTCATTCTTAGGAAATTATTTAATAATAGTAATAACTGTTGATAGGGGTGTCAATATGGGTTGACACGACACGAATTTGACACGACACGAATTCGACACGACACGAATACATCAACACGAACACGACACGAATTTTCATTCGTGTCAAAATCTTCAACACTGACACAACACGAATTTTTTGCGGGTTGACACGACACGACACGAATAACACGCAAAATAGGGGACAAAACGGTAATTAACAAAAAAAATTTAAAAAATAGATCGAAAATAAATATAAAATTAAAAAATAATAATAAAAAAATAAAAAAATAAAAATTAAAAATAATACGGGTCGACACGAACACGAATTCATAAACACGAACACGACACGAATTTTTTGCGTGTCATTTTTTCCAACACGACACGAATTTTTTTACGGGTCAACCCGAACACGAATTTTCGTGTCGTGTCGCGTCGCGGGTCGACCCGCGTGTCAAAACCCATATTGACACCCCTAACTGTTGAGTGTGGTCTTGCTAGCACAAGATAGTTTGAATTAAGCATTTTAGAGATGGAAAATCATAAATGTATCAAGCTATTATGTATGCCAAGATACATTGCTTTGCTCCCTTTCACTGTTTATATTTTCCCCAATTCTGTTTAATTCTCTTTGCAATTTTCTGCATTTTCTTCATTTTCTCCCTAGTTTTCAACTGAATCTTTAAGGTTTTCCAATTTATTGGTTTGTTTGGTTTTCCAACTTGCAGGGACAAGGTTTTCACGATTAACTGCTGACATTCACTTCATCGGCTTCTTTATGGCAGAGTCACAGATCGATTAGAAGAATTAGGCAAAGATATAGCTTTGTTACAATTCACATTGGTAAATACATGTGACAATTAGTTCCAAGAGTTACTTCAAAAGGAGACACGGTTCTTTCAAGGAATTAAAAGCTTAATTTAAAAGATGTTCAATCTTCTTACTAGCACATCACCTGTTTGGTTGCATATATAAGCATGCATTGCACTATTTTGTTTCATGAGTCACCTGTTTGGTAATGATATGTTAATGCATACAGTAGCCTGCAAGCTAGCATACCATCATACTGGCATGATTTAATAAGTAACCACCTAACCAAATTGGCATAAAATCACCGATGACATTATGGACCCAAGTCACATAAAGGCAACTTGATTATATTTAAACTTTCATTGTCACTTTCGTTTCCTAAAACTTTTCACTAGTTTATAATGTTGACATTGACTAGAGCTGGCTCTTGCATATCTCTTGCTATAAATATTACTACATTGGTAATTGTCTTCATCTTCCATATTATTTTTATAGTCCCAATAATACTAACACTGTAAGATCTGTTTTTCACGTCTTGTATATATCTTCTATATGTTTATTACTGAAATTGAGTTTCGTGCAGGTATAATAATAGGCAAGTGCAAGCCTCGCCTGCAGTATTAATTAACTTCTCCAATCAACAAAGAACAAGTGGAGAGAAAAGTATCTCCCATATTGCTACTGGCTGCAACTCAGACAATTCCACACCTAATGTGCAAAGATGTATTATTGCCTCCAGCTACAACCCAATCAAAAGAATCTGAATTCGCAACCTCACAATCACAACAAGGGTATTCTCTCCCAATTCCAGTAAAAGGTGTAAGGTTCAATGATCTACGCACACCCTATGGTTCTGTATTTCCTCCAGTGTTCCACACACAGTCTGGTCCACCATCTATGCCAAGTCCAAGTTCAGTTGTGCTCCTTCAACCAACCTTTAAAGTAAATGCATTTTATCAGTCAAATACTAAAGAAAACAGTTTAGAGCAGCTTTATGAACCTTGTGGTCCAAACGGAAACAACGCCCCAAACCACATTGTGTACACACAGGAACACAGTTCAGGAGCACTTTCATGGCTACTCTCCTACAGTAGTTATGTGCTACACATGGATGATTTTTTGAGATGCACATGGATATTTCTGGAGATGCACATGGCTGATTTTGGATATGCACAAAGCTGATTGTTATTTGGAGATGCACATGGCTGATTTTTTCAGATGCATATGGCTAATTGTTGAAACATATTTAGTGGATTTAAGGACAACTAATGAGATTCAATGTTATTTATCAAATGTAATTTTTATTTATTCAAATATTGTAATTCAAGATTGTTATTGTTAATAGATTGTTACAATGATATTATGACTCATTTCATCTCTGTATTGGATATTATGATTCATTTCATTTAATTTCATCTCTGTATTGGATAAAATAATAAGAATCAAATGCTATAAAGAATAGTGGAGAAGAGCACAAAATAATCCTTCTAATTCAGCATCTACAAAAAATAAATTTACATAAACAACGACTGCAGTATCCATTGGAAGTCATTCATAATACAAACTTCATCCACCACTTTAGCTATACAAACTTCATACAACACTCAGTCTCTCATGTCAAGATCTAATAACAGTATGCATGGACAGCAAAAAATATATTCCATACATCCTTGAGAGACCAGCTGTACACTCAAACATATGGCCATCTTTTATGGCACCAAATTTTGCTTCTGTCAAAAGAAATAAAAGTCAAATAGTTAAATCTGTCAAAAAATCTTTGAATTTACATACAGCAAAGTACCTACCTGCAAGATGAAGCATTAGGCAAAAGAAAACACAACCTAGACAAATATGATAGACCAAATAGACCAAACATCATTTATCACCAAGAAAGGAATGACAAGCAAATGCTAGCCTGCCAATAAAATCAAAAGAGGGTAAAAAGGAACAGCTTAGCATACAAACATAATTTATGCACACCTCAAAATTAACTTCAACATCAGTTCCATTTTTTTCTTTGCATGTACGCTTATTATGTCCTCGTTTCTTGCAATGTCCACGTATATTAGTATGCTTTGATGCTTCTTCAATCCCACTTTGAATCCTTTTACAGCCTTTAGTTTGTGAAATGTTAGGATCCTTCAAGTTCATAATGGAAGACTCTTCGAGTAGAGAATCCAAAGAATGTAAGTTGAAATCCTCTAGACCCTCACTCTCCTCAGATATTAAACACTTTTCTGCAAACGCAGCAAGAGAGTCAACACCATCATTAATGATTCTAAATGCCTTGTGTGACCTTTTTGCAAGCTCAGCAAGTCTAGACAATTTAGAGCTTAGCTGAAGGTTCTGAAGGAGTCCATCTCCAGGAGAAAAACATGTGTCGTTGTATGAACTTAGTATATAATTTCCTTCCTTGCTCCAACGACGCAAAATGAAATGCTCAGGAATTTGATAAACACCTTCAACAAACAAAATAGCAAGAATATGCTTACGTAGGATTCCCATGAATTCAAAATATTGACAAGAACACCTAGCTTCTTTATCATCCACCTTTATCTCCACTGTTGCAGAATTTTCTATATCTTCCATATTAAAAACTCTATAGGTAACCCATTCTCCGTCATTTCCAAGTTTCTCCGTAGAGTATTGTAAACTATCACACAACTCTTTGCTGAACTTGTCAAAAATATTAGAGGTATATTCTTTAGCTGCATGTCTCTCCAATGCATATTCAATACCAAACGTCTTTCTTTGTGCATAGATTCAAAGTTTTCCATTCTAAAAGACTCGTAGCGAGTATCTACAGCTTGATTATATTTTTCCACAAATTCTTTTAATGTTGTACCAGCTGTAACAAAACCATCAAAGAATGAATTTATACTTTCACTCCGCTGCGTAGTGTTCATACCAGCAAAGAAAGTGGACCTGTTAAATATTGGTACCCAAGAGGATCTAATTGAATATAGTGTATGCAACCACTCATTTCCATCAAGACCATACTTAACAAGAATATGATTCCATCTATCATCAAAGTCTTCAGTGCTTTTGGAGTTCCAAACACTCTGATGTATTTGATTACCAAAAGATGCATGCTCATGATAAACACGAGAAAGCTTCTCTGGAAATTTTTTCATAATATGCCACAAACAAAATCGATGTTTGGCTTTTGGAAAAACTTTGGATACCGCATTGGTAATTGCCATGTCCTACAAATTCAATAACACGTGTAAGTATGCAATCAGTAATGTATGAAACAACTCAATAAAATGAAATTAAATTGAATGTACTTGGTCAGTAATTATAGCAATCAGATGTTTCCCATTCATTGCTCGAAGCCATTCCTCAAATAGCCAAACAAAAGTTTGCTCGGTTTCATCTTTTATAGAGCACATCCGAACAAGATTGACTGCAAATGATTATTTACCCCAACAAAAGGTCCAAATGGCATGGAATACTTATTAGTCCTATATGTTGTGTCGAAGGTGATGACATCCCCAAAAAGCTCATAAGCCTGCCTACACCTTGCATCAATCCAAAAAAAGCTTTCCATGCGATCATCTTCATCACACTTGATGGAATAAAAAAAATTTGGATTCATTGTCTTTTGTTTAACACAATAATGTAACACAGCTTGTGCATCCCCTGCATCATATATTTTTTTTCTCACATTTTTCATATGATTATAACAATCTCGGCTATCAAACAATACATCATTGCCTCTAAGGATAGTGGCAACCTTTCCGATGGGCAAACCCGAATCATTGAATTTTTCTATCAATGATTTTGCAGCAGCAGGCATTTTTTTGTGTGATCTCAGATATGAAACACTCATTGGAGAAACCAAACCATGATTATGGTTATCAGAAAAATATGTAATTCTCCACAATTTTATTTTTTCATTTGTACAAGCCTTAATACAAGCTTCACACCCTATGCGTGCTGATGATGTCCTCCTTATCAAATTTCCGTGAGAAACTTGATCAACACTCTTTTTTTTTTGTTCTGCAAAACCCTCTCTAGCACATGTTACCTTGATGTAGTTCTTCTTAGTTGTTCTAACCCGAACTCCAAAACCTGTTGTCCTAGCAAATGTTGTGTACAAGTCTAATATATCCTTTCGTTCAGAAAATTCCATTCCAACCTCAATCAAACAATCAATATTCTTTGTCGGCGTCAACACAATACTATTTGACATATTGTTAATTGGTTCATTCAATATGTCATCTCCCAGTTTATCAAGCATGTCATCTTCATTCTCATTGAAGTTTGCATAATTTATTACATCTTCATCCATGCTTCCAAGGTCACCAGATACCTAAAATAATTGATTATCGAAATTGAAAATGAAAAAAATAAAGCAAAATCAGTATTTATAGAAACAAAAAGAATGCAATGTGCGACACTGTAGCATCATAGACCAATGATTTTAAGCTGATTGAACGAATTGAGAATATTTAGAAAGATGGATTCATAAAGAAAATTATAAAAGGAAAGAAAGAACCAAATTGAAAAAATAAAATTAAAAAAATAACTTTTGCAAATTGGAGATTCGAGCTCCCAAAATGCAATTGTAAAAATTTATCTTCAGCTACATTTCTCTTCTCTCTGTCTTCAACTGACCATTGCTTAAGTATATTAAAACCAGAAAATTAAAATCAAATGCTTGAGAGATACTGAAGAAAAAACATATAGACACCTTCAAGTTTCGAAAGACGGAGAAAAATTCATGCGCGAGAGTGCGAGAGTCCAGTAGCTTCCACTTCAGTTCCGGATTACTCTCTTCCACTTGTGTTCTTGCGTTCTTTAGCTGGTGACGGTGGCAGAGGGCGGTGGCAGAAGGCGGTGGCGGAGCGGGAGGGAAGCATAAAAAGAGAATGAAAACTAAAGACTGGGGAGAAAAGAAAACTGAGAAAGAAGAGAGAGAGTGTCAAAAATTTAAAACTAGTAATGGCCGTTGATTAATATGATAATCTAACGGTGAATAAGAAAGTAGTAACCGGTAGTCAAAAATAATGGTAGTTAGTATATCGGTCCTCTTCTTTTTATACCTATAAATTAAATTGGATGCAGAAATGATACAGTGAAAGAAATTTTTTAGTCTAATAGTTAGATTTTTCCGCTCATGTATTTTTCAAAAGAAAAAAGATCTCTGAGAGCTGTTTCTTGAACCAAAATAGAGTATTTAGGTTCTCCCAATGACTAAAAAGTATATCATGCCTGAATACACTTGAGATTCACGACGGTGGAGAAATTGGATTGGAAAAAAAAGTGTTTCTAATCTATCTTGAATCCCTTTTGCTTTTCTATTTTTCTACGATAAATATAGAAAAATATTACTCTTATTTTGTATGAAGTAATTATCTCATGTTATTTTATTTCGATAATTTCATCCATTTTTTTTATGCTTTAATGATGGGCCTCACGTGACTTCTCTCTATAACATGAGAGAACTACTCTCCTATAAAATGAGAAGAACATTCCCCGTAAACATATCATTCTAGGCAAAACTAAATTTATGCTATATGGAATCTTTCCAATAACTTTGCTTGAAAAAGATGCAAGTAGAAAGCAAAAAGGGCCTCTCTGATAATTGGTCTGGCTAGAAATTTATTTATTTATTTATTTTAAAAAAAAGGACCACTAAGCGATAGAGATTTCTCAAAGTTAAATTGACGTTCCCATTATATATCAACATAACACTAAGAAAGAGCATAACATTAAAGTGTACTGGAAAAATTATGATTAGCGAGTCATGATTAAAGACACCCCAAATTGTCTCATACAAGCACAGTTCAAGGTATAGTTTTACAAGTTTCTAAGTAATTATATATTTGAAATTCGAGGCATGTTATATTTATAATTTTTTTTTTTATAAATTATATTATTTTCTTCTAAGAGAATATTAAGTTTTATTATGTTCTTCTGAAAGAAAGATAGTGTAATTTGTTAAAATTAGTCAAAAAAATTTGTAAACGGATCATGTTAAAATTCAACATCATAGAAATTTGTAGCTGCTGAGAAGCTGGATTAGACAATATCAATAGGTTTACCACGCTAACCTATAATAAATGAAATGCAAGGGAATCTTAATCGTATGATAAAAACGCTAAAGATCATACTAGCTGATGATGGTCTAAAAAGATTATTAAAAAAATCCCTAACGGCTTTTACTTGGTGAATAGTGGAAAATGGACCGATAAAGATTTCCTCAAGTAGTAACAAGCTACTGACATTCATTGTTGTTAATATTTGACTGTTTATATGCATCTCATTAGCTCATTGAAACATGGGATATGTCTCTACCGGTAGCAACCAAGCAATGCAAGTTTCAAGTTTCACAAGTATCCCCTTATTATATCATAAGTGGGTTTAGGACATGGAATTGTTTGTGTTAAAATTTAATTGGCTGCACCCCCCTACTCTTAAAAAGCTATTTTTTTTTTTAAAAAAAAATCTCACTACATATAAGTATTTAGATGTCAATTTCTTTTTCTTTAAAAAAAATATAAGTCACGAAAAAAGTTAAAATATTTTTCTTAAGCTAAAATTTCTGATTTAAAAAAAATTAAAAATTAAAAATCAAATATTTTTTTTTAAAAAAATTCATATTTATCCTAACTTCAACCCAATTAATCTCACCTTGGTTGTTGTCATCATCTTCACCACCGCTATCACTACACTCAGTCACCACACATAGAGGTGGCAAAGTGGGCGTATATGACAATACTTAAAAAAAAAAAAAAAAAAAATCATGAAAGGTGAAAAGAACAATTATATGACATAACATTTATGTAATAGCTCTCTTATATGCCAACACGATGCATTCCCCATTTTCACAAAAAAAAATGGGTCCTAAAGTAGGAGGAACCAAAGCATTTGGTATAGTGGAAGCCTAGAAGGTAATCAAGTTATAATTTGGGGACAAAAGGTTCATGAATTGTCCAAAATGGGGCCCTTTTGCTTTGAATTTGATATATGCCTTTTGTGTTTTCAAACTTTTGCTTTCCTCGAGTCTCAAGTCAAAACAACCGAAAGAGAAAGCTGTTATTTCTCCAACGGTCGAAGCATGTCCTCTTCATTTTGACTATCAAATGGCCACTTTCTAGTTTCTGAGCATACAAGATCTTGAAGAGTTGTGGCATATGCATCTGCTTGTTCCCATTGCCCTTGACTACAAAGTTACTCCTAATCACGTTGTCCTCAATAGTTTCATCTTTGAGAAAAGGAAAATGGGAAATTATTGCTTTACCTAACTCACCTGCCTATGAATTCCTTTTGGTCCCTTTAAAGTTCACAAGGCAATGTAATCATAATATTCCTTCAATGCCCCTCTTCAATATTGACGGTAGGTTGCTTCAAATAGTAGCCTAACCTCCCCCTTTAACCAAAAGCATTATATTATTCCCTTATTATAAAATATTGTTCTTTGTATTTTATTCATTTCACAAAATGAGAAATTAATCATTTCTTTTTTCTATGTATTAGAAATTTAAGTATGCGTGATGAAGTTAATTAAGAATGAATTAAATGAATATCATAAAATAAAAAAGATTCTTATAAGATTTTGGATCATGCAATGTAAATTTTACTATTATAATTTGTTGCTTAATTAGCCTATTGATAAACGTCTTCCCTATTTTTGAGTTCCCCTAAGTTCCTTTCACTTATCTGGTATCCCCGCTAGCTTTAGTATTAACATAATTAGCTTATCCATTTAGTATTAACATGATTAGCTTCTAACTATAGAACTTGTTAACAAGCATTGGTGAATATGAATTTCCAACTTTTTAGGATCATATGCATACCACTAAGGCAAAAAATGTACTTGTTACTTGTTAGTTAGGTTGCAACTCTATTTTTTTTTACCTATTTAGCTCTTATACATTACATATACAGAGTTCCACACTAAGCGATGTGTGGACATGAGGGACTGAACCTTCATGCCAACTACTAAACCTTTGGTCTTGCGAGCGAACAAAAGGAGTTGTTTGGAACCATAATCCCAAGACAATTCTATAAGAACATTCAGTTGCATGATGGAATGATATCTAAACATATGGTGTCCTTCATCGAATTACAAGACGTACCCCTTCTTTTCTTCCTCAAAAAACATGTAATGTGTGCAAGCGTATGCTTACAAATTCAAAATCTAACATCAATTTTTTTAAATTCCTATTCGTAGATGGTTTAACAAACTAGAAATTTTCTCTTCTTGCTCTCGTTGTCTTATATTGATAAGTTATTTATAAGTATTACGATAAAATTTTACTAATATTTGTAACATGTTCCGAGACAAATTTCCTCTCCCTAAACATTTCCCACCCCTTTTTGTTTATCAATTTCAAATGTCGTGATATCGTTAAATGCCTGTTTAGGATAGCTTTTGGACAGCCATACTTGATTCTAACAATAAAATTAACATGTTTTGAAAAAAGTATTTGGGTATTTTTCGCCAAAAACACTAATCTCTTGGTGAAAGAATATACTATTTTAACATTGTTGTCTCCTTTCAATTATTTATATACTGATTCCTTACAAGATCCGAAAGGATAACCAACAGTAGGACATGTGAGGGTATGTCCCTAAGGAGAGTGGAAGCCTAATCTGTTTTAAAGCATAGTAATAGACTAACTACTAGTGGACCCGGGAGTTGACTTAAAATAATTATCAAGTCCATAAACTCAAAGACATTGACAATGAGCATCTCATTATAAGAAAGTTTGTCAACCTCATTATCATGTGTTTTTGTTTATATGGGTAGGTGTAACAAAGTTTAAGAATTCTGCTTTCAATTTACATATTGCTTTGGCTTATCTTCCCACTTCAACCCTATTTTCCTCTTTTCCTTTCCCCGACACTCACCTAACAATATAGAATATCCTTTGGGGACGAGAATCTGAGCTAAGCAAATGAAATATAAGGGAAAAGTCGATACTTAAAAACTCTCAATTTTCTTAACAATAGTAATAGTGGGACCCAGAATATTTTATGACGAAAATAAAAATATATTATATTATAAATAAAATTACTTGCAATATAATATAAACCTAATATACAAAGATTTGGAGAAATATATTATAGAAATTAAGATCATTTCACTTAACTCTTACTCTATGTGTTTTCATATTGTTAAACTCTTCTATAATTGAATCTGTGCTAAAACTCAACAATTTTTTTTTCAATGTGTGTAACCAAGAATCATCAAGAAATTGGTCTGTCATTCTATTTCGGAGCTTGTTCTTGATTATTTTCATAGTTGAGAAAGCTCTTTCATTAGTTGCTGTAGAAACTAAAAGAGTAAGTAAAATCTAATCACTCTATCAATGAGAGGGTAAATGATGAACTTTCCAGTTCTTGCTAGCCCTTGGCATAATTCAAATGTAATTGAAAAATTAATCAAATCTGGATGTTTAGAAATGTCAATATAGCTCAAAATTAGGGGTGAAAGTGGACTGGGTTGGGCCAAGCTTTGTCCCGAAAAGTCCAAGTCTACGTCAAAAAATTTCAATTTGGCCTGGCCCAAGCCTAGTTTGAGTCTAACTGTTAGCCTGGCTTGACCCGTTTATAAAAAACAAATGGCCTGGTTTGGCCCGTTAGCCTGTTAATTTTTTACTTCCAAGCAGAATCATGAATCAACTTTACAAAGTACTCAAATTCTGTTGCTACACCAAAAATCATAATTTCAACGTCCAAACAGAATCATGAATCATAACAAAAACTCATACAATATGCATTTAAGTCATTTTCAAAAGCAAAATGCTCAAACTAAATAACATATATTTCATCAGATCAAACAAACAAGTTCATACTATGTAAATTAAAATAACTAGATGAATCGAACAAACACATCACGATGCTTGTAGTAACTATAACTTCTTCCAATTTTTTTTAATATATTCATATACAAAATCTAACATGTTGAGATGTTGGTTCCTCCTATATAAGAAATAAAGTAAGATTTCTATTAAAATATAATCGAATATAATTAAGTTATAAATAATTGTAATTGATTAAATTTATATCTTTTGTTTTTTCTTCAAGGCATACTTACTCTATTTTATTTTATTTAAAATAAATAGTACAATATAGGCCGGCCTGTAGGCTTATAGGCCCGACCTTTTAAAAGTGGGCATACATCCTTTTTATTAAACAGGCTTTTTTAAGGCCCAAGCCCGGCCTATTATACAAAATATACTTGGTCAGGTTTGGCCTGATGTAGGCTGAGCCGTAGGCCCCTGTAGGCCGTCTCGGCCCAGTTTCACCCCTACTCAAAATGTTGTAATTCCACCTTCAAATGCAGTCTTTCCTTATTCTATGAGATCTCTAGAATAAAATTTATCAGCAAATTTGTAAATATCATCACTATTAAATGACTTGTACCTATTTCTTGGATCTAAAGTCATACTCAAAGCAAATAATTCAACAGTATTATCATTGAATCTATTATTTAATTCTTACAAATGATAATCAATTGTAGCATAAAATATATTTACCCTGTAAAAATTTTCAATAAATAAATCACCTTGTTCATTTCGAGCATGACCTCTTATTCCAATATATTTTGCACTTATATCTGGAATGTCAACGTCATGTTTTATGTAAAATTCTCGAACATGAACCAAGAAAGCATCCCAACTTGTCTCTCTTAATTTCTGAAGTAACTCTTTTATAGTTGAAACCAGGTTAAAGCATTTGAAATATCTTGAGATTGTCATTGCAAAACTTGACAAAGAACTTCAGTAATACCTATAATTTCCTTCATAAGGTGCAATATGATGACAAATTCTAAAGATGTCAATGATGAATATGCATTATCTACATCTTCACTATGTGATGTTGTCTTTCCTTTACTAGAAATATTATATATAACTTCAAATGTGACTTTAAACATTTTAAACAAACTGCATATAGAATTGTAATGAGAACTCCAACGAGTAGCTCCAGCTCGAAGCAAAGTACCAATCTAATTAACACCAATTCCTGATTCGAGTTCTTCAATAACAATCATTCTTGCAATTTCATTTGTTTAGGCAACCATTAACTCATCATTACATTTATAAGAAGTAACAATATTAATTTTGAAATTTAATTTTTCAAAAAACTGATGAATATGTTTTACCTCATGAGATGCAACAACCAAGGCAAGTTGAAGGCGATGAGCTAAGCAATGAACATATTAAGCATATTGGCACTCAGCACAAATTAAATCCTACAATCCACTCTATTTACCTCGCATATTACTAGCTCCATCATAGCCTTGGCCTTAATCCGCTCCACTTAATTCAACAACAATATGGCTTTTGTTTACTAAAAAAAATAATTAAATAAATGAAGAGAAACAAATAAAAAAATAAACACTTGCCCAACAAACAAAAATAAGATATGTAGATCAGTAGATATATACAACACCCATAAGTCAAATAATACATATTTTTAATGAAAATTTTGGAAATAAACAATTTTGTCAATGAGACAAAAAGAGAGCAAAGTATAAAGAATAAAGACTTACTATGAGCTGCTAAAGCCTTGAGAGTCGATTGTGAGCAATTAATGATTTAGAATAGATGAGAAGTTGAGAAGGGGACAAAAGAGGAACGAAATTTGGCGGAGGAGAGAAGAGTATTAGCAACGAAAGAATTATGGTTAAGAAAAAATGTGTTTGACAAGTGGGAAGAAGGAAGATTACGAAAAATTAGAAAAATTAAAAAATCATGCGATATTATTTTATTAAAAATAAAATAAAATATTATTTATTAAAAAATATGAACTAGGCCTAGAGCCTTAGAGAACATGCCTGCGCTAAAATAGAGTGTTTGTGACCCATTTACATCCCTACTGACACAGGTAAAAGGATATTGTTTTCTTTTAAGAGTATTTATTTTTTAATTTGAGGGGGTGAATTTTTAGGATAAACAACCTACTAATATTAACAAAATAATTTTTTTATATATATAATTTTTTTCAAATTTTAGGGAGGGGTGAGGGCCATCCCCAACCCCCTAGGTCTGCCTCTGTATAGTAAACTGCAATATATAGAAGGTTCGTTGAACTCAGACTGTCCATAAGGTACCCTCACATCTTGCATATAACAGACATATTTGCAATAGATAACGAATCGTAGAAATAGCCCAGTAACTAGGATCACATTTTGTTAAGGGGAAGGATATTGTAACAACCAAGTAATGTTACTACCAATGTTACTACCAATCAATTTCACTGTTAGATCGATTATGTTGATCCAATAGTTGTATTTATTTCCATCTTTGTGTGGTTATGATTCATCGTATTTAATACTTTATATTTATTTCTACCCTTGCATGGTTATGATTTCCCATATTTAATGTGAAAGGAATCATAACTATACAAAGATAGAAATAAATATAACCGTTAGATCAACATAATCGATCTAACAGTAAAATTAATTGGTAATAATATTGGTAGTAACACTAATTGGTTGTTACAATATCTTATCCCTTTTGTTAAATGGAATAAGTTTTTATGAAATAAGATAATTGAGAATGGAATGCTTTAGAATGGCATGACATTTTCATATTTATATTTTACATAATTTAGAATGGAATGATTTTATTTCATTACTTGTTTGGTATATTTCTTTTTTACCAAAAACAAAATAATATTATAATAAACATTGTTCTTCCCATTGCCTTATGCAAGAGTCATTGAGCTTGAAGCATTTGGACTTATACCCTCTTACTTACACCACTCTAAGTACCTTGTAGGTGATTCCCTACCCCTCTTTCTACTCCGTTATATAGTACATTGTTCGAACACGATAAGTATACCGGTCGTTCCAATTAATAAAGTGATTAGTGAGTATCGTTTCCACAAGGATTAAATTCAAGCAATAATTCACTGCTTTTTAAACAATTTAATAGTTTTTGAACATGTAACCAATATTTAATTAAAAATTCAATTAAAGATGCCGACTAAAGAAATTGATTTAGAAGATGAACTTAAAATTATGAATAAAAATGCAGTTAGGTTTACTTCACCTCCGATCCCCCTATAATTGGTTTAACTCAATTCAACAACTTTTTATCCCAATTGTTTCAAACAATTCACCATCTAAAAATTAATTGATTAAATCCTAATTTCTTAGTTCTTTAACTCAATCGGAATTCTAATGTCTTAGAAATCCCTTTTAGATAATTAGATAGACAATGATAAGTGGTAATGGGCTAAGTGAAGTGGATATAAGTGGATGGATCCATGAACCCAATGCCTTACGGTTTTGGGTTGTGATATGGTGCCAGACCCACTTGGTGTTGTTGGCCTAGCTTAGTCCCTTGGTGGTTGTCCCTCGCCACGGGCTCCCTTTGGACCCGCATGATATTGGTATTAGAGTCAGGCGGAGCTCGAGCTAGCTAGGTGTTTGGCTAGGAGGCAGGTTAAGTACTTTGGACCTGTGTACTGGATTGAGGGAGAGTATATCATGTTGAATTTCACACTTGAGGGAAAGATTGTTAGGTAGCTTAGGTTATTCAAGTGTGATGAGCTCACATTGGTTGATAATGAGCTAAGTGAAGTGGATATAATTGGATGGACCCATGAACCCAATTCTGTAAGGTTTTGAGTTGTGACATGATGTCAGATGCATTTGGTGTGGTTAGTCTAGCTTAACCCATTGGTGGTGGTTTTCCGCCACGGGCTCCTCCTTGGGCTCGCTTGACAATGGTATCAGAGCCGGGTTGGGCTGGACTAGCCAGGTGTTTGGTTAGGAGGCAGGTTGAGTACTTTGGGCCTGAGTTTACTCGGTTGAGGGGGAGTATACCAATGTTGGGTTTCACACTTGAGGAAGAGATTGTTAGAATATTCAAGTGTGGTGAGTCCCACATTGGTTGATAATGGGCTACGTGAAGTTCATATAGGTGGAAGGACCTATGAACCCAATATCTTAAATTTTTAGGTGAAAATATTGTGTCGAATCCATTTAATAACGTTGGGCTAGCTTAGTCCATTGGTGGTTATCTCTCCCACGGGCTTCTCCTAGATCTTACTTGACAATTATTAAAAAAATGTAAAAATAATATTAAATTTTCATGAGTAAAAATCATTACTCTTTGTAATACAATGATGCCTTTCTCTTTTGTTCTTTGCCCTTTTGGTCTTACCTTATAATAATTATATAATGCTGGCCACTCTTTCCCTCCTCCTCCTGCCTCACTCTTTTCTCTTTCTCTCACTTTTGTTCACATTCTCAGTATTTTGCTTCTTCCATCCAGCACTGCTCCCTTCCTCACCTATTGGGTATCTTTGTTATGTCTTATTAGCCATTCTTTTACGGTGATACAATTTTCCCCTCCCTTTTGTTTTTAAGGGGAAAAAAGAAGGAAGAGAGAATAGTATACACCCTTTTTGGAAGCAGGTTTGATGAAGGAAGGGGGTGGTAGGAAGCAGGGTGCAGCCTCACCCTGTGCTGCATGCAAGCTTCTGAGGAGAAGGTGTGCTCAGGATTGTGTTTTTGCTCCCTATTTTCCAGCTGATGAACCCCAAAAGTTTGCAAATGTGCACAAGGTGTTTGGTGCCAGCAATGTCAACAAGATGCTTCAGGTTCACTTTCTTTTCAGACCCCTCTTTTGTTTTTTTTTTTTTGTCTTCCCAAATATCACTAGACTCACTACCCCACCTCATATTTAGGCAACTTTTGATTGTCAATATTTCTAAATGATTTTTCATTGGACTTCTGCTCTTAATTCCCACTGAATTAAATTCATATATATATCCTTAGATGCCCTGCTGGAGAAAAAAAAAAAAATATACATGAATCCTAGCTAACTTCATGAATCAGATACTTTATATTTGATATGACATCACATGTGTAAAAAAAAGTAAATATACTATATTTGTTTCTGCATTAAATTATATATTTCATATCCATATCAATGCTTATACTTTTTAGATTTAAATAATAAAAAATATTACCATATAGTGGTTATAATTGATTGATGATGCACCACCTATTTGTGAATCTAATTTTGCTTAAAATTCCGTTACAATTATTACATCAATGCAACAAGAACTTGGCATTTTTTTTTATGTTTAAAAGATTTGAGAAAGAAGAGATTATTCATTCTAAAGTGAAGGTATGCCACAAGCTTATTTAGCAGTTTTTACTTATTATATCTCTAAAATTATATTAAAAGAAGCTTCTTCTTTTTGTATTTAAGATTTGATTTAACGGTCAGAATCTACCTGATATAATCAAATGAATAGCATGTTTGAAACCTTAGTTTTATAACTAAAAGTAAACAGATTCAACACTAAAATTGATTTAATAATGTTTATTTTATATATATCAAGAATAAAATAAAAAGACAACTAAAAGCGTTCAACATTTAGAATTCACTGAATGTAGACAACAATAATTCTTAAAATTTAATAATTATATCAATACTACTAATTTTTAATATAACTTCAACACTTAGAATACAATTTTTCAGATATTCTAAATTCAATAATAAAATATTCAATTTGATTAAACGCATTAAGCTTAACTTTTATTTCCCTTTGCAATGCTCCCCCCAACACAAATTACATGAGGTTAGGGGCTCTTGATTTGCATATGTTGAAGTCGCTTTCTTAAAAAGTGAAAAGTTCTATTTGGTGCAAACGGTATATATGGGTTTGGTGTTTGGCATTTAAAATGACATAAGTTATATCATTTTAGGAGAGAGATAGACACAGAAAAATAGAAATCACGGGAGAGAAAAAATGGGTGATTTTTTTAATTTAAAATTTAAATAAAAAAATTTATATATATATATATATATATATATATATATATATATATATATATCTGTTTGGTATAAATGAAAATTTAAAAAACGTGGATTTCAATTTTTTCTTTCCTACATATAAAAAAGTCTTTCCTTATTTAAGTTTTTTTTTTATCTTTTTGTTTTTTTCAATCTTTCAATGCACAATTTCGACCTAGTTTAAACATGAAATTTTGTCAAATTGTTTTTCAAGCTTCCACCCCTTCTATTTGGCCCTAGGAGGTAGAAATAATTTTTTTTAGTACATGAGAAATATTTTTACTCTCTTGAGCATCATGGAAAGTCACCACCCCTAGCATCCACTCAAATCTTGGGGCACAATCTGAAGGAAGTCTTCAAAATATTTGAATTTAAACAATCAAAAATAAAAAAAATTAACTGCATAGTTGTTTAAATTTTAAAGCAGCATAAGTTGTTTAGTCATTTCAAAAATTAACCTTTTCTTTCATCATGGTACATTTGTCCTTTTGGGGGGAGCCAATGGGAGCTCACAAACGTGATTTGGCACCCAAAGTCAAGGTTAAGCACATTCTGTAACACAACATAACAAGCAACGTACATTTGTGAAAACACATTTGAGGAAAGGTCAATTTCGCACCCCAAACAACATATAGGAGTCCTTCACTTTCCACTGTCATTATAAAAATGTTTTAAGTTAACGTTCTGCTTCTGTACCACGTGAACCTGTCCCTCCAATGAAATTTTTTAATAAAAAATAATCAGTAAAACACGTGAATAAAAAAACTACTTATTTCATTGTCAAGTCATTTTAGCCTTTTTATTCGCTAGAGAGTATAGTTTTGTTTTCATGAAAGCATATGTAATGAAATGTGAAATTTGTAGGACCTACCAATGCATCAACGAGGGGATGCTGTGAGTAGCATGGTTTATGAGGCCAATGCAAGGGTTCGAGACCCTGTGTATGGGTGTGTTGGGGCCATCTCTTCTCTTCAGCAACAGATTGATGTGCTGCAGACCCAATTAGCCCTGGCCCAAGCTGAAGTGGTACACCTTAGGGTGCGCCAAACTAGTTGCTTTTCCAATCCTGGTCTTGGGTCCACCAGCCCAACTAATAGTGGGTCCCCATCATCCAAGATTATGGACTTAAAAGCCAAGCCTATTTTTGACATGGACATGGTGGTTGACCAAGCCAGCTATGGTGGTTCCATGTGGTCATAACTTTTATAGTCTAGTATCTATTTAGTGGACCTTTGAAGAAACAAAAACAAAATGGCCTTCTGCGTATTCACTTTGTGAGAGTTGGAGCAGTGGTGGAGGCTGTTCACCCGCTTAATTAATTTTGATTTGGGAGAAAAGGTTTCTCATTGACAACATAGGGTGTAAAATGTAAATATTATTAATTGCTTTGTATGAAGGACAAGTTTATGGTGTGATTTTGGACTCATTATGGCAAATGGTTGCATGGAATATTCTGTTCTTGTTTTAGTTGTGGTATGACTTGGTCTTTTGCAACATGAAGGATGCACCACCAACTAGAACAAAACTTTAGTGAAACTGATGCAATAAAAGTTCAGTACATATGTAGTTCATTTATCATAGAATACGTAGGCAGATTCTGAGATTCTAAATATTTGTGCAGAATCCGCCTACGTATCCTATGATGAATGAACTACATATATACTGAACTTTAGTGCATCAATTGCATTGAAGTTTTTCTAGAAATTTGTGCAGAATTCACCTAGATATCTTAATAAATGAAATAATGTTGCATTGAACTTCAATGCATCAAGAGCATTGAATTATTTTTCCACCGACTAGTATTTACATAGATTTTTATAGGCAAATGTGCTTCTTTGTAATGTTAGAGTAATCAGTATTGCTATGCATAACTTTTAAGGAATATTAAATTTTTTCTAAAGTTATTTTAGAGAATTTTGCTTAATATTCACTTAAATAACATCGTTTTGAGATAAAATCATGATGTATTTATAATTTTAATTTATTTCAAGGTTATATAGTCTTTATCATTTTAATTTTTTAATTTCAAAACGATGTCATTTCGATGAACATTAAACAAAATTGTCTAAAATAACATTAGATACTTTTTTCCCATTAATATATTATGGGTTTTGTTCTCCCTTTTATCTCTCTCCTTTGATTTATTTTACTATTAATTTGTCTGGGATTTGATTTATATTTGAGCGGACGATGATATGTCTTTCAATAGCATACTATGTATTACAAACCTAAAAGCCTCCATAAGTTCCTTAGCTAAAGATGCAAAACAAGTAGAAGAAAATAGTTTAAAATCATATAAAATACCAAAAGAATGTATATGTTGAAAGCAAGTATAGCATGCTATATATTGTCAAAACTTAATTTTCTAGCCTAAAAGGTTTATTATGGGAAGAAAGAAAGAAAACTAAGGAATGTGTCATCAACGATTGACATCAGTATAGAAACAATGCAATTCATATAAAACAAGTATATAGTTTCAATAATTTAAAGGAAGTAAAGATTTGAGTTCAACTTTCCATCCTTAAGTTTTCCGTTTATAATTAAGCTTCTTGTCAAGTCTTCGTAGAATACAAAGCACAAACTCTTTGGAAGGTGGTGGTTTGATCTATGAAAGAGGCCCATTTAACTAGGATGTACACTATTTTCAGTGAAAAAGACTTAGCAAATGGCCACGCGTGATTCCGTGGCTGATTTCTTATTAACTCGATCAAATTAAATCCAAAATGTTCTAAAAAAATAATAATCCAAAAAAATATTTTAAAAATGACACAAAATAGTCAGAAAGGCAACGTGCGCACCATTTTAATTTTAAAAGTGCGATAAACAGTAAGCATAGGGTTTTAAGAAACTAATTAACAATTATATGAAACATGAAATAATATAGGAAAAAACTATTTTATTTATTGTTAATATCATAAATATGCTCATCAATAAAGAAATATTATTTTTTATTTTGGATACAAAAATTAATAAGTTTCAACTGAAGTTTAAAAGTTATAGATAGTGACCCATCAAATTGAATTGTGTGCAATAATTTTTTTTATGGGTAGTGTAGTCTATCACATCTCGTGTTTATAATAGGAGATAAATATCTCCAGTTGCATGATAAAAAAAGAATCCTATTTTTATTGACTTGCATAGTATAAAATGTATTTTAATTAATTTAAATCTTAAAAGAATAAGAGTAATTAACTACAACATGATTTTTTTAAAATTTATTTACTTAATCACATTAAGTTTGCCTGAATTTTGGAAGAAAAAACATATATATATATATATATATATATATATATATATATATATAAATATGTAATGTGATATTGGCAGCTTGCATATATTATGTTTTATTATCTCTGTAAGAAATACTTTTATCTCTTACACATACATAAAAAATATAAAATTCATATATTTGTTTCTCTTCTCTTCACAGAGATCTCACACTTTTATACATGTAAAAAATAATTTTATCAATCTTACAAGACAGGAAACATCAAACCCATACTTCATATAATAGAATATAAATATCAATAGATATGAATAGTATACCCATATTTTCCTTCTTACACCTCCACCGCATATATTAGACGCGGGTCATCCACACGCCCTTGTTCTCTCCTAGAACAAATGCAAATGCTTTATACCTGGTTACTACTTAGTTTTTTTTTTTTTTTTTTAATACAATTGTGGTAGTGAAGTTTGAACGATACGATCTCTATCCACAACCCTCACAGTGGCTTAGTTTTTGGGTCAACTATGGAATGGTTAGCATTTATGCGTTGTTAGTTCACCAATCATATATATAATGAACGTTGTTAAACTTAAAAAGCACGTTAATTACTCAAATAAAGACCATAAATTTTAAATTTAAGAGTGATTTGTTTTTTCAACATGGAAATCATTCCGACGAAATTACGTGGATACATGCAGCAATTGAACATAAAGTACTCAACTATAGTTTAAAAATTAAGAGTAACAAAAGAACAAAAACTAGATCAGTTTGATTGTGTTTCACAAGCATTGCATCATTACACACACAAATAACTAATTCAAATTTACAAAATGAGCGCATAAAAATCCCACCCCCTCCTCTTGTCTCCACTTCCTCCATGCATCATCAATATCATCATCAGCTTTGTCTGATAAAACATCAACATTAAATAAACAAAAGTCAATCAAAATTTCCAAATAACACAAAAATTAAAAAAAATAATAGAACGAAGGAAATAGAGGCAAACCTAGACATCCTTGGCAACAAGTTCACCATTCACCAATTCTCTGTAAGCAGCAATGGGCCAACTGAAACCTCTAAACACCAACCTCGAAGCAAGTGGGACATCAATTATGATTTCCTTCTGGGTGGGTTTCTTCTCATCTCGGATCGCAATCAAGTAGCTCCGACCCACCCACCCGATCCACCCGGCGATGTAGAGGAACAGGATCCCGGGCGTGATAAACTCACCCCAGTGCCTCTGGTCACCGCTCACGATCAAATGTGGTAACCCGTCCGACCCGCACAGCAAACCCTGCTTCCCGTAATTATCGAACCTTCTTTTCGTCTTCTCTATGGTTGCATTTATCGCCAGCGCCGGTGCACTGTCCGGTGCGTACAGTTTCAGCGACGATTCAAGTTTCTTTATCGATTGCTTCTCGCGCTTCGCGAATTGCTTCGATTCCTTGCACGGGGTTAGCCCCGCGATGTCTGCGGCGGCGGGGAGCGGCGCCGAGAGGAGGATCGACGACAGGGCTAGCGCGGCGGAGAACGCCTTCAGCTCCGACGATGCATTGCTGTTGATGTTGTTGTTGTTGTTCTGGTTTGAACTGCAGAGGATGGTGGTTGTTGTTGTTGTTGTTGTTGTGAGCTTTGGTTTTGGGGTGAGTTTTGGTTTGAGGGTGGTGGGTTTGGAGAGGTTAGTGGGAATGGTGAGAGACATGGTTGTTTGTGTGGAAGGGTATGCGAGATTGGAGTGTGTGGAGTTGGGAACACAGAAGAGAAGGTTTTTAGATTCTGAGAGGGTGAGATTGGTGGTGTGTAACTAAGCAAAGGTTTGTGGATAGTTGATAAGGAAGCTGAGTTGGAGTGTTTTCATTGGTTGAAGCTGAGTTACACTTTGTGCTCTGTTATCTATCTTGGGGTTGGATAAGAGTGGGGTCACAGTCTCATAACTTGGTGATAATATATTTGATATTTGAGAAACTGTGTTCCCATTTTGGTTACGCGTGAATGTTATTATAACATTAATAAATTAATGTCCAATTTTATGTTATAATTTAAATTTGATATAAAAGTTAACATTGAATCACCATTTTAATATATTTATTCATTGAAAATCCAATCCCAACTCCCAAAGATTGATTTAATAATGAACAAGAACCTAATGTGTAAGTTAGCAAGTAAACGCTAATGTAAATTAACACGCTTGGTTCACCTTTTTCTTGAAAATCTCTATTGGTAATATATGTAATTCCATTACAAGATCCTCGTATCACCCTAAACGTTTTAGTGCCCAGAAAAAAGAAAAAAGAAAAAAGAAGAAGCAAGAAGCTAGGTAGCACCGACTCGACACGCGACACGATATTCCGACACGTCAATCCTAAAAAAATATGAATTTCGACACGTTGGGACACGTTTTAATATTAACTAATTTTTTAATTTATATAGTGTATATTTCATTTAATATTCAATAATTTAACAAAAAAAAAAAACTAAACTAATAATATCCATCAATTTAACCAAAAAAAATCATTTCCATAATACCATTATTTTGATCTAAAGCAAAAATAATAGCATATCCATAGAAAAACATAAAACATGGAGATTATAGATTACCTTCATGGAACATTTTCATCTAGAATAACATTTGACTCAATCTCTGGCTCATCAAGTGAAAGAGTAGCAACTTCAAGAATTCCAACATCTTCAAATGTATCTCCAGCAATGTCCCACATTCTATTATCCCATTGTGTATATTGTGAAGTCTTTCTTGATAAGAGCCTAAGGTTGCTATGTATATAAACCAAGTCTTCAGCACGTTTTGGAGTCATCTTATTCCTTCTTATAGAATGCACAAAAGAATAAGTACTCCAATTGCGTTCAGCACAAGATGAAGAAGAAGGTTGTGCAACAAGTCACAATGCTATCTTTTGAAGCATAGGTGAACAAGCACCATGAAGCACCCACCAAGCTTTGGGCTCCATAGAATACCAATTATGCATGGCATCATAATCTCTAAAACCTCCACTTATACTAGCAAAGTCCACATACTCCAAATTTATTTTATTTCGGTCCTCCAAGTTAGGAAAATATCTCTTTAAGCATTTTTGTCTTTCTTGATTAATCTCTAAATCCTTGTGGGGAGGAACTCGACTAGGATCTTCATTAAGCCATTTTTCACTATAGTATCTGAAAGAAAAAAAAAGAAAAACAATTAAACAAATTATATCAAATAAGAGAAGTATTCAATTCATTCATAATTAAAAGCTTACTTGGGATTCAAAGCATGTGCCAAAGAATGAAGTGGAGTTGAATGTTTGGTCCAACGATCCACAAGAATGCCATGCACCACCTCATAAAAAGTTGAGGTCTCATCCATCCTCTTCAATTCATGAAAGTATATAGCTTTCTTCACTTTTACAATCATCTCATCCCACATATCATAAATCAAATGAAGACAAGGTTTATCAGTGTCACAAATCCTAATCATATTATAAATAGGAGCAGTGAAAGCAAGTATATAATCAATTGAATCCCACCAAAGATCATCCAAAATCTTATCTTTAACCATTCTTGCCCGTCCTAGATTATCATCTTTATACAAACTCCATTTTTCACTGATTACCATATTTTGGAGACCACATTTTATCAATTTGAACCTCTTTAGCATTACAATCACGGAAGCAAAGCGGGTTTCAGCTATAGAAAGCAACTTCAATCCCACAAACTCATTAAACATTGACAGTCTCATAGAATGATTCATTATGAAGTGCTTTATTGTAGAAACATCTCCAACAATATCAGAAATCCTACTACATTCCTCATATGCTATTTGATTATTCTCCACATTTTTTGCAGCACAAATATTTTTCACAGCTAAATTCAGTGTGTGAACAACACATGGTGTCCAAGTAATAGATGGAAATTCTTGCTCAATAAGATACCCTGCTCCCATACAATTTGTAACATTATCCGTGATTACTTGAACCACTTTTTCATGCCCAACTTTTTGAATTACTTCTTTTAACAACATCCTAATAAAATGCCTATCCTTAGTCTCTCCTGAACAATCTACTGATTTCAAAAACATAGCTTCACCATCAGATACTGCCATGAAATTAATAAGTGGCCTCCTTTGTGAATCACTCCATCCATCACTCACAATACTAACACCCTTGTCTTTCCACCCAGCTCGAATAGGTGCACACAACCTATCAATATTTTCCTTCTCTTTCTGCAAAAGAGTGGTTCGCAAGGAGTTATATCCTGGTGGCAAATAACCTCCAATATTATTATCCGCAACACAAGTGAAGGCTGCTTGAAAGTATGGGTTCCTTGCTAAAGTGAATGGCAATCCTGCTGAATAAAACATCCTAGCAATCAAGTGGTTCAATTCTTCTCGCACCCCAACATTGAATGCCCTCTCAATAAGATTTCTAGATGAACTTCCACCCTCACTTCCACTTCTTCTTTTTTTCGAGTTTGATTCTACGGAAACACTAGAAGGGGGTAAAGGCACATTTTTGGGTGCATTACTCTTCAATCTCTCACTTCCACTTGTTCTAATTTCTCCATCTCTAGCAAGTCTTTTGTCTCCACATGTAAACATTTTGCAATTCCTTTACCTGCTATTTTAAGCAAATGAGTCCTTATTCTAGTATACGAACTTTTAAAATCCTTTTCACAAAAATTGCATTTCCAAGATAAATTCCCTCCTGCTTCGGTTGTGGTGCCTACTTTGGTAACATATTTCTATAATGGTTTCCTTAGAAATTCATCATCTCTACTACTTGCAATACTTGAATCCATTCTAAAAAAAATAAAATTAAACACTATGAACAAAATAATTAATTAGGCAAATATAGAACAATTAAATTAAAATAGTAGCATAAGCATTCCATTAACAAACTGTTAAAATAAGACAAATAAAATAAAAAAATAAAATAAAGACAAACTGAAACTATTACAATTACAATTTATTACAAATAAAGACAAATTATTACAATTACAATTTCTACTGTTAGCATAAGCATTGTGTCCGTTGTGGTGATTTTTATTTTTATTTTATTTCTAATTATTACAATTTCAATTTCATCCTAGCACAGCACAAACCAATTATTACAATTTCAATTTCATCCATGATTTTTAATTACAATTTCAATTACTTGGACACAGATAACCCAGCACAAAAACGGTTTCAAATTATACAAAAAGAAAAGAGAAAACACAAAATCCACAGCATCAACAACAAAAGTTTTTCCTTGCAAGCTAAAGTGAAGCTTCGTGAAACTCCAAATCACAACAAAAGGAAGAGCAATACGATAATAAAAAGAAAAAGGTAAAAAAAAAACCAAAAAAAAAAAGAAACGAGAAAGAGTAAAGCAAAGTGAGGAAGCAGCAGAAGACCATAAAACATGAGAGAGAGACCACCACAACTATTTTAATAATAGATCGAACAAATTTATAAGTTATAACAAAACAAAAAAATTCAAACCAGGAATCAAAGAGACCACCACAGCGACTCAGACCAGTGAGAGAAAATGATGAAAGAGAGCACAGCCGCCACAGCGAGAGGCGAATGACAGACCAGTGAGACGCCACCTAGAACTTAGCAACAGAGACGATAATGAAGACAGACGACAGAGAGAGATGGAGACGCGACGACAGAGAGAGATCAGAGAAAGATATAATGAAGGTTATTAGGTTTACGTTTTTTACTTTTCCAGGTTAGTGTACGCTTTCATTAAACTTTATTTTTTTAATAATATTTTTTTTAATAATATTTAATTTTATAAATATATTTAATTTTTCTAAAATATTATTTTTTTTAAAAAAATATTATGTTTTTTACGAAAATGCCATTTGACCGTGTCGGACACGGTCAAATTCGCGTGTCAAAATGGTCAACGTGTCAAAAATGTTGACCATGTGTCGGACACCGTGTCATAGCGTGTCGGCGTGTCGGATCGTGTCTGACTCGACTCTTCCTATTTTTCCAAGTGTCGGTGCTTCCTTGGTAAGAAGCATATATCACACATTCTAATATTTCATCAGGAGTTCTTGAGGATCACACGTGCACGTTTATAGTATTTCTGATTTTTGGTGTCATGAGAGAGATAATTTGTGGGTGTGTACGCGTGTGCTTAGCATGACATTTCTGGGTAAACGGATGTTAAGAATTTCTACCCCTGTCAAAGGAAAAAGGATGACTGATTTCAGTAGACTTTACTTAGAGGGCTCTTTGATCCATTGGGGTTTGTTGGGATTTTAATTTATCAATGTGATATTTGGTTTACGGTATTTATCAATAGGGGTCGTTTAGTGACGCGAGGGGGACCCGCGTCATTGAGTGCCGCAAATGTAAGAACCCACACCGTTAAATTAGGAAATTAAATTAATTAATTATGAGGTTAATGAGATAATTCCATAATTGACCCTAATAATTATGAGAAGGCCTAAATAATTATTGTAAGTGATTAATAATGTTGAATGTCTTTTCTGACGAAAAGTGCATATATCGATTCTGCTCCACGGTATAAATGTGTACCGATGAAGTATCCCAGAAAATTATGAAAAGTATGTATATGTCACTAGAATAATATATAGGACTAGCATAACAAGTTTCAAGTCAAAATAATGAGAACTGGTGTCAGAACTGATATTGGCTAAGTAAAAGTGCGTACCGAAAAAGTACTGCCAAAAATAAAATAAAAATATGAAAAATCTTAGAAAAATGACTAGGTTCAGAATCCTAAGTTCGGGATTAAAATGCTAAGTGTAGCTATTAGTGCTAACACAGTGTGTTTAAAATTTAATGAGGCTATATATAGGATGACATATGATCCTAGGTCAGAATTTTTGTACTCTACATGAGTGTTGCTGAACCTTAGCTACTGCCACTTTCTCCCTTGGTCACCATTGCATGAGAAACCCTCAAAGTCACCTCTTTTCTTTGATTTCTTCATCTCTAAACAAGTAAACACTTGGGTGTGAGCATTGGTGAGTGAGAAAAGTGTCATCTTTTGAGTTGTGGGTGCTGTGTGAGTGTTGAGAAGGGGCTGTTTCTGAGTTGAGTGGTGTGGGAGTCTTTCTTTTGGTTGTTGTAGCTCCAAGAAGCAATCTTTGTGAAGGAAGGACCTTTCTTGAGTGTCTTTTCGTGTACCCTTTGAGTCAGCACCTTGGAGTTGACTTGAGAGCTCCAAGAGCATCATTTATCTCTGTTTTGGAGCTTGGGGTAAGTTATTGAACCTTGATCATGAGTTTTCTCTTATAAAAGTGGAGTCTTGGTATGTTAAATGAAGAAAATAAATAAACAAGATGATCATTAGCTTAAATGTGTTTAAAAATGCATGCTTGAAGGTCTGAAAGTGTTAAAAGTTGAACCTTGTAGGAAAAACTCTTGAAAAAATGCATTTTTTGAAGACTGTCGCAAAATATCCGGATATTGGAAAACCAATATCCGGATATTGATATCCGGATGTGATATCCCGATATTGATATCGGATATTCCTCCGAAAATATCCGGATATTGATATCCCGATATGATATCCAGATATCGATATCCCGATATTCCTTTGGCAATATCTCGATATTTTGGTTTGGACAACAATGAACTTGTTTTAGTCAAAATTCGATATCTTGAGCTACATAGCTCCAAATCGAGTTTCATTTTGACCTATGTGAAGCTAACACATAGGGCTACAACTTTGTAAAATTTCGTAGCCATTGAATAAGTGGTTTGATCGTAGAGTCATTTTGAATTCGCGTTTTGGTTGCTGGAAATTCTGGTTGCAGCAGTCACTTTGCGTAGAACATAACCGGAGTTATACAACTCCGATTGAGACGTATAATATGTCGTTATAAATATGGAGATGTCTAGTTTAACATATTAAAATCTTATAATTTTTCGGTGAAGAGTTACAATTAAAGATTTAAAAAGAGTAAACACGGTTTAATGCTTAAGGCTTTGAGGAAAGCGTGCAGTAAGCAAAAATAAGAAAGAAAACGTACTCCTTTTGACATGAAATTATAGAGCATGAGTATTGATGATATTTATGTTATAAACAGACCTTGATCCTGCTGTTTTGTGACTTGTGGGCTGCTGTTGGGATTTTAAGTTTGAGTATACTACTTGACAGGTAAGCTTTCATGTCCTCGGATTGATCTGTTGCTTGTTCCACCGACCTCCATGGGAGGGTGGTTTATATGCATGTATGTTTTTATGAAAGATGAAATATGCATTGATATATGCCTGAGATGTGTTAAATTAACTGTCGAGGTAATGTATGAAAGTGATGTTAATTACTTACACAATCAGACAACGACTCTGGTGTGTAAGGCATGTAATGTATGAAAGTGATGTGATTACTTATACAATCAGACTGTGACTCTGGTGTGTAGGGCATAAGACTGCGACTCTTATGTTTAGATAGGTCGCAGACGTGTATAAACCCTATCTTGTTTCCTGGCCAGTCGAACTGCATTTGCATACATCACATGATTAATGAGTTGTAGTATTTGACTAGTTGTGCAAGAGATTATACTGTCATGATTTAATGCTTTAAAATGAACATGCATTGAAAATATCATTTTTGAACTTATATTATACTTATAAGTGAGCTTGGGGCGGAAGAGTCCTTGAGGACCCCTTGTCTTACTGAGATTTCTTTTTAGAGATCTCACCCCACTTTTGGGGCACATTTTCAGGTTCAGGTACCTCGGGAGTTGAGACCTCGGGCGGTAGGAGACCGAAGCTTAGTTGACTGTTGTTTACATGCTTATGCTGATATGATTGGATGCTGCTTTTGTTTTAGTTTCAGTTTATGGTTTATTGAGCTGAGACTTTGTTGGGCTTTGTAGCCTTATTTGGTGAGCATGGGGGTTGTCCATTCCGCATTGACTATGTTTTGATATTTTAGATTAGAGTTGTATAATTGTATCAGGATATTGTCCGGGCTACGTGTTGTAGTTCCGTGATTAGATGAACATCTATATTAATGAGGTTATTCAGTGTAGTTTGTTTGGTTGCAATTACATACATGCAATGTTTTATGAAAAATGATTAAGTAATCAACTTGGTTAATGTTAATGACGTCATAATTGAAAAGAAAAAGTTTATTCCGCATTTTAATTAAGCGCTGCTTAATACGATGACATGATAACAAATCGGGTATACACGGGGTGTTACAGCAAACATCCCCCTCGTCACTCACACTTCTTTATTTTTATTTTTTTCAAATGAGTGACGCTCCCCTCTCCTGGAGAACTCATAGGATAGTGCCAAGTGGCATAATCCCGTTAGTCTTGTTACCCTAAAATTTTGGAAGGCCATAACTTTTGACTCGGGTATCCAAATTAGATGCTTTTTTTTTATTTCGCATAACTTTTTGAGATCTACGCAATGCCATCTCATTTGACATATTTTATCTTTCATTAACATAGTTCAAATTTACAATAATAGTTTCATTTTTTTACAAATTTGAATTATGTTTGTGAGAGACAAAATATGTTAAATGAGGTGTCATTATGTAGATCTCAAAAAGTTATGTGAAATAAAAAAAATCATCTGATTTGAATACCCGAGTCAAAAGTTATGGTCTTCCAAAGTTT